CGAAAATTGGGGAAGTTGGTTTTGAGCAAACAACCATGAATTGATCGTTCAATCTTCAGCAGTTGTCTTGTACAGTGATAGAAGACAGCAGCTGGTTTTGAACGTATATTTTTATTAGCGCGCCGATGTTGGACGAGTGAAACGGGGGAAATGTACTCAAACAAACAGAATGGCATAAATCATTCAATAGGAAAAACCGACCTTACGAATCATGAAAATATAGTTCCTGTTTCGCAGCTTGTCTCTTCCTCATGTCTTTCTTTAGTAATTTATTGTAATCGAAGTATTAGTATTTCAAGATGACCGAATTACAAGAATCCAAACAAAACACAGAGAGGGCGGAATTCAGGAATTTGTATTTAGCGGAATTATTATGCAATTCATGGCGAAGTTAAACTTTCGACACCACTAACTACCAATCAGCGAATTATCCAATGAGATTCATGAACGATGTGGAATTATCCAATGAGGTTCACGAATGTAGTTCAATGTTGTATAGCGCTTGATTTGAAATGCGTGCCCTTACAAGGTTACGGTTGCAATTCGAGGAGGATACTGTATTGCAGTACTGCCTGGATTTAGGGTTGCTCTGGAAGGAGCGAACTTGTTCGTGTGGTGGTATCATGACTTTAAAAAGCTATAGCAGATCAACTGATGGATTTGTTCATCGTTGTGGTATATGTTTGAAGCGTTCTAGTATTAGAGAGGGTAAGCTGATTATTTTAATATTTCGTAGGAACTTTTTTCTCCAGGTCGCATCTGTCCCTGACGCAGATTTTATATATCTGCAACTACTGGGTGCTAAAACAGCCAGTGCGAGCAGCAGCTGCTGAGACGGAGAACAGCCTGGTTTCAACAGTCCAGTGGTACCAGAATTGTAGAGATATCGCATCATGGAAAATGGACAAAATCACTTGTTTGTTAGGTGGAGAAGATGTTATCGTGCATATCGATGAGACAGTGCTGGTAAAGAAGAAATTCAACCGTGGTCGCCAGCGGGCGAACAATATTTGGGTAATAGGTTTGTACGACACCTCGCTTCGAAAGGGATTCGTGGAAAGGATTGCGGATAGAAAAGCGACCACTCTTATACCCATTATCACCAGACTTGTAAAAAAGGGGTCTATAATACATACAGACGAATGGAAGGGTTATAATTCCCTGTCATCTTTGGGATATATCCATCATAGAGTCAATCATTCAAGTGATTTCGTGGATCCCGTTACGAGAACGCATACAAATTCTATTGAAGGATTTTGGGGCAGGTTGAAAAATAGGATAAGAGCTATTAATGGATCTCAAAAGCAGCTCATTTACAGTCATTTAGATGAATACATGTACAGAATATGGTGTAACTTCTCCATTGACAGTCCCATGCTAAACTGGGAGATGTTTCTGTCTCATGTTCGAGAAAAATATCCCATGTAACTATTTTATTATCTATTTCATGCTTTTTTTTCTATAAATATACATTTCTATTCATAATTTATGCCTCTTTACTGTGATTGGTCCGTTCAAGGTCGTTTGCTGATTGGTTGTTAGTGGTGTCGAAAGTTTAACTTTGCCCAATTCATATAAGAAACATATCAACAGTCAACAATAAGTATTTAAACAATACAGAGATAGAAATTGTCAATCACCTTACCGCCACACGTCGAATGTCTCCTTGCGTACTTATAACGATGTCTCGGTTTGCTTGCAAGTAGCTGCGACCTTCTAACTGATTCTGTGATATCATTTTCATCAGTATCATCTGGACTTATTCCTGAATTATCTACAAAATCAGGATTATTAGCGGAATCATTAAAATAATAATTGGAACGACCTACTTCATTTATTGTCACTTTGTCCAGGTGTCTGTTATGAACTGAGTGATCTCTGATGTCTAATATCTTCACCACTCGATTTCCCATTTTTCGTAGTATAATTCCAGCAGAAGGTCTTTAGTCATTACCTTTGTAATAATGTACATTAGAAGTCGTGGACATCAGATGCTTTTTGAGAATTCGAGATTTGAAACGTATTGCAGGACTTTCACGGGTACTTGTATGCTCTGCATTCGACAGACGCAGTCTATGCATATGCAGCAATTCCTCCATTTTAATCAGTTGCTCTCTCATCTCATTCAGGTCTTTTCGTGTTTTTAACAGTTCACATTGTAACTCGGCTACCACATTTTTGAAAATAGTTGACACTTGAGTTGTTGAACTTGTAGTGGAGGTTTTCATTGAATGAGATTGAGTATTTTGAAAGGTTGAAAGACACATTGACTCCATTTTACTAGACAGATTGGGAGAATTATAAGAATGTTGAGCAACATAAGTATTCGAACTTATGCAAACAGTCTTGATGTGTCCAACTTTACCACACTTGTGACACTTGGCACCCCGAAAACGGCAAGCGCTTCACAGATGTAACTTTCCACAGGATAAACACGGTTTAATGTTTTTGATCTCTCGCTGCATTCTATTACCTGTGGACGACAGTTTGGATTGCTTTCCATGACCACTTGTATTATCGGCTTTGGACAGCATGACATCAGATACTGACGTGGTGGGAGCAGAGTATTCACTGTTGACATCTTCATATGTAATACATAAATCTTTAGCAGTTTGAAAAGTACAAGAAGGAATCTGAATTAACTCTTACTCTAACTTAGGAATATTGATTCCAGCAATTAGACGATCACGTAGTTGAGTATGCAGCTGATCTCCAAGGTTACACTTTGAAGCTTGAATTTGAAGTTGAAGAATGAACTCTCGAATCTTCTGGTTGGGAGCACGAACCAGTTTATGAAATTGAGCCCTCTCTCTGGTCTCAAATGTAGTTACATGAAAGTGATTTATCAGAAGTTCACGAATCTTGACATATGGCAGAGAAATAAGTTTATCTGGAATTGACAGAGTCTTTACTAGACTATACGCATCTAGCCCAATAGCAGTGATGAAATTTGCTGGTATTTTGTCATCCAGAACATTCTTTGAAATGCACCACGCATCGAAGCATTCCAAATAATCAGCAATCTCCCGCGGAGACCCATTAATGGGAAATTTTCCCAGGTTATTTAGTTCCATCGCGACGCCAATTTGTAGTAATTATTTGTAATCGTACTTTTAGTATTTCAAGATGACCGAATTACAAGAATCCAAACAAAACACAGAGAGGGCGGAATTCAGGAATTTGTATTTAGCGGAATTATTATGGAATTCATATAAGAAACATATCAACAGTCAACAGTAAGTATTTAAACAATACAGAGATAGAAATTATCAATCACCACACTTTCTTAATCACCAATAGTTTTGAATGCGGTAGGGTTGTACAGGTCCCACAACACCAGATTTGCTATCCAAAACACGAAACATTTTGGGATCGGAGTTGTATTTGGAGGGTGACTGCTCAACAAGCTTGGGAAAGTGCATGAACGAACAAGAGGGTGAGAGCGACGGCGTGGATGTTTGACCCTGAGTCTCCAGCTAATCAGATCATCTAAAACAGAGAGGGTCCGAATCCAATTTTGATTTGGTGAGTGCCCCAGACTATTAATTTAGGGGACTGCTTATCTGTAAAAAATCATTGTTAAATCTGCACCTTGTGCCAACTACTATGCTGCGGAGGTTAACTTCCCTGATGAAAATAATAAAGCCTTATTTCAGACAATATGTGAACATATGGTATTCAGTTTCAGAATATTTTTTCTTCATACAGGATTTTCTAGTAAAGTAATAATATGTAGTATATCCTCATTCTGTTGAGGAGTTGCACAGCGTCTACTTCCAGGTAAGTTAAATCAGAGCGCAAAATGATGTATAGGTCATCTAACATAACTAAAACAATGATAAACTCACGGGAAATATGGCATTCTGACGGAAAGCAGTTTCCTTATGCCAGTGATTCAAGCAGGCCTCTTTGAAGCCTAGTATCAATAGATTCACCATTTATCGATGGCGATGTCTCATTTATTCCTGGTGGCTGAGACCCATTTTATGTGAAGTTCCAAAAACCCTCATGAATGCAATGCATTATCACCCTGTTAGTTAACCACTCGCTCTTCACTGTCACCTATGCGTCTGCCCCGCAGTCTTTTTCATGGAAAGGTAAATTTTGACGTGTCCCACTTCCGCTTAACCGACAATCTTGTTGTTGACAATCATTTTCAGGAGTAACACATATCTTGGCAGTGAGGAATGCACCAGAAGCACCAGGTAACAAGGCAGTTTAAATTGAATCGGTTTTGTCGGCTGAGTCAAAGTGAATACACTACTGATGAGTTCACCCACAAACGTGTGAAAATAACTACCATTGTTCATACCAATTCGATGTCATTGGAGAGCACTACTACTGTTTGTGAGTGGTTTTCAACCATCATATTATATCCTGCATAATTAAGAGCCTTCTTAACAAACTCGGGTTTACTAAATAGGATAAAAAACTCTAAATACTGCGATACAAAAAAGAAATCATTAGTCATGTTTCCCCAATAGGAAGAAGGAGGTCATCCTAAATAAATTTCTCCAAGGCTGCTTAATACATATTCATCTTTATCCTTTAAATTGTGGACAGACTAGTAGGAATATGGCATCACAAGTTCTTTGCTACATCACTAAATAGGACCCACTGCTGTGCATAAAAGTTAAACTTAAGGAGCATCCTGGCGGAAGAACTTCCTGAAACTGCAGTCACTAGGACCTAAGTGAACTCTTTATCAGCTCGACTTAATAAAGCGTGAAATTATTTACTTGAAGAGACTAGCAGAAATTTTTCCTACCAAGCGATCTGAATATTTGCAGTTTGTGAACAAGCTTGGAGGCTTTCACATTCCTGCATTCGGATTCTTCGTTCAAGGTCGTCCGCCGCGTGTTGCAGTTTATCAGAACCCTCTTTTTTTCTTTGGAGAAATGATGGCAAGAAAAGAAACTTCACGCTTTATAGCTCAAAAGATGTCCTAAATTCCAATGACAGGGAAAAATTTGAATTGCGTGAACAAACTGTCATTGAATATTTAATTATTGTTAGGCGTCCATTCAAAATGGGTAGCAATTGGGACGATGTGAGTTTTGCTTAAACTACCAGGCCTGTATAGTGTTTTGTCAAGATGTTAAGAATATTCGTTTGGTAATAGTAGACATGTCTGTAGTTCTTGTTCTAGGGTTGCTAACAGGTGCAGCGAGCTAAATGAGGGAAGACTCGGTTCCTACGGTTAAAGAAGTGACCTTGGAGAGGATTAAGGAAATGCTATCCAGTTCGATTCGGATAGCATAAGCCTGAGGCCTTCGACAGATTTATTTCCTTGAAGTCCATGAGGTCACACTGTAACCTCACAGTGCTCGCGTATGAGGCGTTTGCCGTCTTTTCTAATAATCTGAGGTGTTCAGTATGGTCTACACTTCCCAGATAGCATTTTCTTCGGGCGCATTGCAGACTTTTTGGGGCCAAAAACTTCGGGTAAATCTACTTACGTGGGACACTGTCCCGAAGTCTGCCCCAAAAAGTCTGCAATGCGCCCGAAAAAAATGCTTGCTGGGTTGTTAACACAATTGGTTCGGTTGTTGGTTTCAAAAATCCTGAAAGTACTTTGATTATTTGACGACGTAGACTACTTGAGAAAATTCTAAAAGGTTATCAAAAAGTTATGTGTTCCGTATACTAAGTGCCTAGCACTAACCTTCTGCACACAGCCTAATATGTCGTAAACCACGCCCAGTTTTTCAAGAGACTGTGTGCCTGAGAGTCGATCCAGTTTTTGTGCAGTCTTCTCCCCGTCCTATTAGTCTATTGGGTACATGTTAATCCTGAACCTATGTCTCAATCGAGAAGCGAGCACAAATAAATCAAATTGGTTTACACTACCTCGTAGAAATGATATGGGATATAAAGTATGTGAATAGGTTGAGGACGTTTTTCCCCTAATGCATCTAGTCATTTGCTGTACCGGACAGATCTGTTTATTTCTCAGGATGCCAGATATCCTGAGGGAAAGCTTTAACATAGACCAAAAGAGCCTACTATCTTTACTCTCTGAATCTCAATATATACCAAGTACCAGTGATTCTTGGTCGCTTCCGAAACCGTTATATCTTTGAAGTTTGAACTTCGTATGTTACACAGGTGGACTGGTTTCAAATTTCAGAGTCAAACAGGGTGCATCATTAGCTCAACATGTTTCTGCTAGAAGTACGTGACCACATTACTTCCAGAATATTATTTCTCTGCGGTGTGAGACCCAGACATTTAAATCCTCTTTTACTTGCTACATTGGTACTCCTAAGAAACTCGCATATCGTCGCTAATCGTCTCATAACCTTGGTTGTGATAAGTTGTCTTTAGCCATTTTTCACATTTGTGCTAGCCACAACTTTGTCTTCTCAGTTTGCCTATAAAAGTTGTAGATGGTCCTTAGATTGATGGGTAAAATTAATTTACTTATGTGAGACGGTATTTGATATCAGAGTCTTTTTAATGTCGCTCACTTCGCTTAAGAAAAGTCAAAAAATTTGCAAATTAAACGAAAAATGTTTATTATCCCACATACTCGCGCTCTAAAATCTGCCAGTGTTCGAGTTCATTGAGATCATTCATACTTGAATTTCTGGTTCAGATTCAGGTTTTTTGATTGATTTCTGAAGCCTATGTTAATCCTTTCCTAGTAAATTTCTATGCTTGTCTACACCCTTATTGAATGAATCAGTCGGGGTCACTGACACCACTTCTTCTGGGAGTCGGTTCCAGGAGTTTATGACTCTGTGCGAGAACCAGTACTCAACAGGATTATAGTTTCTACTTGGCTTTTGAACTATATTTCTACGTTCACTAAGGTGTTCCTACCTGGTGGAGAGGAAAACAGAAGATAGATCAGGTCCGTAGTCATTATTTAAAAATTTAAACTTTGTGATTAAGTCTCTTCTCTGCCCACGGTATGTCAAGGAGAAGAGATTTAAACTGTCTAGTCTTTCCTCGTATGATAAGTTAGCCATGCCAGGAATCATACGTGTTGCATCCCTTTTAACCCTTTCTAGAATATGTGGGTCCCCTCTAATGTAAGAGCTGGCTGCCTGGATATAGTTTTCCGGTCTTGATCTCACCAGAGATGTATATGAGGAGGTGAACATATCTCTGGTGATTCTAGTAAAGGCTCTGCGAATTGCCCATAAGGACCTGAAACTACGTGCAGCCACCCCGCGACAGTGTGCTGTAGTTTCTAAATCGTGACTATGACACTTAGATTCAAATGAGTCTGAACTGATGGCAGTGGTATTCCCTCTAGTTTGTAGCATCGGATGCTTGCGTGTCCAGTGCGCATGGCTGTACATTTTTTTACCTTGATCGGAAGCATCCATTCTTTGAACCAATCTAATGGTTTTCGGAGGTCTTGCAACGTGATCGTATCACTGTCGCCCTTCAGCTCTCCAGATTTTTAAGTCATCGATGTATAGGACCACTAGGGAATCCGTGAGCACAAACAACTCACTAATATACTAATTAAATAAGGGAGGCCTTAATAGTATGCCTTGTGACACTCCACTACGTACTGTTGTCCGAGAGGAGAGTTTTGAGCTGATCCTGACACTGTCTCCTACCAATGAAGAATTCACTGACCCAGTTTAGTAAGCTGCCTTTAATTTCAAGACTTTCTAAGTGCGTGAGTAGTCTTTTGTGAGGCACTTTTGTCGAAGGTCTTGCTGAAGTCTATGAAGACGATTTTGACGGGTCTTCTGTTGTCCTTTGACTTGATGCAGCTTTCTTTTACCATGAGATTTGGCAAGCATGAGAGGCTTCCTCGGAAGCCATGCTGTGCTCTGGACAACAGGTAGTTGTTTTCCAGATATGTCGTGATAGCTTTCCTGATGATTGTTTTCTGTACCTTGATAAAGGTGCTGGCGCTGGTGGTGTCTGTGGGACCAATAGGCCTATAATCTAAATGTCATTGTCTTGGTTCTCCTTTTCGGATAGGGGTTGTTATGGCATCTTTCCAGTCGCGCGATGACACCAGTTAGGGGAGATAGCTTGAAGATCGCAGTCAGTGGGCCAGCTATGTAAGCTGATAGCTTCTTGAGAATCCTTGGATGAAGATCATCAGGACCTATTGACTTCCCACATTTAGTTTCTTTAGGCAATTGAGCACGATATCTTGGTGGACGTCAACGGAATCTATCCCGTGTTCCTCTGATGCAGCCAGAGCTGGTCCTATGGGGAGTAACGACTCCTGTGTAAAGATTTGTGAGAAGTAGTCTGCCATTGCTTCTGCTTTTTCTTGATCTTCTTCGATTGTGTCATTGTCAATAGTCACGTTTGGGACACCATTAGGTATTTTATTCCTGAAGTTCACGTACAAGAAAATTTTCTTAGCTTATGCCGTTGCATTTTGAGCCAGATGTGCTTGGAACTTCATCCTTGATTGGCGGATTTCTGTAATAGCTTTTCTCCTAGCGACTTATAACTTTATGGTCTCAAAGTGTAAAGTATAATAAATAAGTTCCAGCACATGTTTATATTTGAGTAATCTACGAATCTCTCGGTTTATCCATGAGAGGAAATGTTCCTGACGCCTTGGGACATATTAAAGGATGAAAGGTCCGGTTGCTTGAGTGTGAAGTTGCTCAGATTGCTTTCATGAGGCTCTTATTTGGGACTATGGGTGTATCTACCAGTTCAGCGAATTGGCTGCTGAGATGATAGCATTTATATCAGCTTTCCAGACGTTTGGTCCAGCTTGGGTTTTGGCCCATGATGCTGGTGCCGTGAACTTGAAAGTGAGCACAGCGTGATCACTTCTTCCTAGAGGAGGAAGATGTTGTATTGCGTCCTCACACCAGGTTCAGGGTTGAAGAGGAGTGTTGTGAGTTATTGAGTGTGGGCTTGATGACATGTTGGGCTAGGGCTAGAGAAATGCTAGATTCTAGCAGTTTATAGTCAAGGAAGTTGCTTGAAGATGGTGTTGTAAGGCTTGTTCAGGGAACTGTTGGGATGTTGAAGTCGCCAACTACGAGACTTCGGCATTTCGTTGTCCAGGAGCCTTCTTTATTAGGAAGCCGTCTGCATTGCAGTCAACACTGCGGTATACAGCAATGTGGTCGATATCATGGCCCATACATTTAAGTCTGCAGCGTAGTTTGCACGTTCCATTACCGTGTACGAGGGTTTCAGTGTTATGCATGGTTAGTCATTTCTTCAGGTAGATGACTATACCACTTCATTTGCAGCTTGTTTGGTCCGCCATATGCATTCTGACGTTTGGCAGGTTAATTTCGTTATCAGTGACATCAGATGGCAGCCTTGTCTCTGATGATTATTATATCCGGATTTCCAGAGTCTATCATATTACCCAGCTCAGTCCGTTTATTCAACAGTCTGCTGGCAAACCGTTAACTGAGTTCGGGTGCTTCCGCGGCATATCCGCAGAGGTTTCGGGATCATGAAACCTGAGACTGAGACAACTGGAAATTCCTTAGTCTTAAGGTTTTTCTCGCCGTTTGTTTAATTCTAGGGCACAGACTTATATACCTGATCCTTGAACAGTTTGGGAGTTAATTAGTATGACATCTCTCCCTGTTTTTGAGTTTATTATGACTTTAAGAATCATACCGGCTGATTCACTGTAGTCAGCCGTCTGGCCGATTCTGTAGAAGCTGCAGTTAGTTGCGCCTGATGCTGATAGTCGTGTCTATCCACTTGTGTGGACGAAGCTTGATGTACAAATTCGTGGGTGACTTTAACTGAGGGTTTTTGATCCCTAGCACGTCTTTTTCTCGTGCCAGTAATAAGCGACTTGGTTTTGGAGTTTTCTGTTGCCTTTTCATTACTGGCATTTAAAGGCTTATCGGGTATCGTACGGGCAGCGTGGGTGTCCGAGCTATGGTGGGTGCTCTTCTGTGCTTAAGGACACTCACTCTCTGACAGATGTGTCGAGAATGAGTATTGTCTTGTCAATGACTTTGGCTGTGTCATCGGTCTCTAAGCGGTGGTCGCCCTTCTCCTGTGGTAGAGGACCTTTGGAGTCCAGGAGCTTAAATGCGTCAGTGGGCGTGGCAGTGGCTTCTTTAATACAAAACTCAGTCGTACTTCAGTATTCACTGCACAGCCAGTTTGTGACAGTTTTGCAGCAGAGCTTGTATGCTGCCGGGGTTAGGATTGTACACATACTGTGAAACCAACGCTTGCAGCTATCACACTGCATGTCCTCTTCACCTGAAAATCGACACATAACACTTCGACAGCAGTTCCTTTCGGCAGGCATACTTTTCAAGGTGAATTATGACTTGAAGTAATTGGAGTACATAGACGTAATTATTTCGGTATTATATGATTTTTTAAACATCGACTGTTAAAAATAATAATAATAATAATTTACTTTATTCCAAAAACAGTACTTGTGATACAGAATGGAATTTTCAGCATTAATCACAATATTGCATCTAATTTCCTCAAATTATAAATAAAATTAATCACACAGAAAATTTTCCACATTTACAATAGAGGTAGTGTCAAAAACATGCAGCATATAAAATGGAAATAGCAATAATAATGATAACAGCTAGGGTAATAATAATAAGAATACAAGTGAAAATTGCCGTTGGCTTGTGTCACACAGTATTGGCAATGTGGTATAGAAATCCTAACATGTTTAAAAATATTGAATATAATGTTCTCTTTACATGATATGGTGGGGGGAAAAACAAAGATTACAGCCGTCATGGAGATAAGTTGGTGTTTGCAATTATGAGAGTAAAACAGAGAAGTAACAGGACCATAAATATAATAGAAGTAATAAAAGTAAAACTTGAAGGTATATAAGGATGGATGGAGGAAATTGTTTATTTACTAGATGAAAAAAGGTTAGTTAATTCTTGCCTGACACTATTTTCATCACATAAAATACGTGCCAAGTATGGTATCATAGAATTCTTATACTTAGACGTGCGAGCATACAGTTTTCTGAAGTTACTCCTTGTTCTACCTGAGGAGATGCAAGGTGAAAGCTGAGGGTAAAGCGGATGCTCCAAGTCAGACAAAATCCCTTTAGCAAATTTATTGCACGAAGTCAAGTGCCTATCGACAACGACGTTAACTATGTGGTCCACTGGGACACCACTCACCCTACTGACAGTCTTCAGTATTCTACGAATTGTGACATAGTCTTTTTTAAGCAAACCAGGAAAGAATAAGGGTGAACAATAAAGAAGAATAGGTAGGATGCAAGAGTTTTGAACTGTAAGAGGAGGGGTTGAGTTATACCCGAGTGTCTTAACTTCTTAATGTAAAATGTCAGGCGGAATATTTTACTGGAGATTGCTAAGACATGGGAAGACCAGGAGAGATCAGAAGAGAGAATGAGTCCAAGATACTTAATTTCTGATTTGATTCCTATATCATTGTCGTCAATTTTACAACTGTCATGAGAATCGATGACTTCTTTTAACTGTCGTTTACATCTTAAGCTGAAATCAACAGTTTGACACTTAGAAGGATTCAGTTTAAGACCGTTAGACTCAGACCATTTGCTGACTTCCGATAGAAAGCTATTTATTTTAGTACAATCTAGCTGGGAGTTAACAGCCATTGAAACCGTTAAATCATCAGCGTACTTCACAAAGTTTATTTCATCAGAGTGAGGCAAGTCATGCAAGAAGAAAGAAAAAAGAAAAGGAGAAAGAACAGCGCCTTGAGGGACACCAGCTTCAGTAGGCAATGAAGTGGAAGACTTCCCTTTATATACGGTGTACTGCTTTCTATCTGAGAAATAGGAATGTAACCAGTTAACAGCCCAACATTCTGTTTGACTAGCAGCAAGTTTATTTAATAAGATGTCCCTAGGGACCGAGTCGAAAGCAGATGTATAGTCTAGGAAGGCAACACGAACAAATTTAGCCCCCTTGTCTAGACTGGAAGCAATGTTATGATATAAGACGGCAGCTGCATCTAAAGTGCTTCTACTGTGCTTATAGGCAAATTGTTTAGGGTCATTAAAGGATTTAAGCGAAGGTACAAGACTAAGTAAAAGTAATTTCTCCATAGTTTTCAAAAAAGGAGAGGTAATAGCAATGGGTCTAAATTTGACACATGCTCCAGTGGATGATTTAGGTATGGGTACAACTTTAATGTCCTTCCAAACGGCAGGCACAATATTATCGGAAAAAGATTTGTTAAATAGATCAGTAAGAGGGTGACACAGAATATCAGAACATTTTTTAAAAATAATACTAGGTACATAATCGGGACCTAAGCTCTGGGAAGGGTTTAGAGACTTGAGGCACTTTTGAACATCATTTGTGTTAAAACCTGGGAAGCATGGCATTTGAAGGAGAGTAAATAAAAGATTTGTTAAGAGTACATACATCAAAAGAATATGGAATATTGTTTATCTGCTTACCACCAGTGATTTCCTTAAATAGTTTCCACATGGCTGGCGTAGATGCACCCACTCCTTGTGACTTACGATTTCCAATAAAAACTATATTGTTCTTCGCTATTGCTATTCCTTTGTCTCACACCTCTGCTGACTGTCTCTATTATGCATTTCTTCTACTTTCTTCTGTTGCTTTGTGTGCTACAATGAGGGAGTGTGGCGACTTGAACTGGTGCACATTTGTGCAAAGTTGTATGTCGAAAACAGACAGACAGACAGATTTGCAGTATAAAATGACATCGTCATTCTATTTCACAGGTTCTCATCTGCAAACTACCTGAAATTACAATGGTTATGAGTAATAGCATTTCATACTTCAATGTTTGAAAGGTAACAGTAAAAACATTATAAGGTGAACGCACCCGGAATATAAGTATTACAATTTATAGTTTGTTACCATCAATTTATATACTATCAAACTGAAAGAAAGAAGGGGGTGAGAGAAGACAGAAAACAGAAAAAATCGAATAAACAGTGTTAGCTTGTACGTCAACATGGCAAGTCAAGAAGGTCAAAGTTCATTAGTTTGACAACCTGCTTAGTGAACTGAGCCCACTAATGTGTGTGACTAATCAGTGTACTGAAAGTGATATGGTTACCAAGGGGGAGAGAGATTAACTACACTCTAATTCTGTGTGCATAAGTTTGGACTGAGATGTTTGGTTGGAATTGTTTCAGCATTAAATCGTAGTAGATTCACTGTCCTTTGTATGTTTAATATTTTGAAGGATTTGGAAATCTCTACAAAATGGCCCGTATTTACAGGGTTTGTATCCACCTTGTAAATATCTGCTTGCTTTTAAGCATAAGTTTCTTGGAATATGCTCTGAAAACCGGATAGTAACCCTTCTTTGTGTCCTTCCAACGTACTTGCTGCCGCAATTTTTATATAAATCAGCGATAAAAACCAATACTTTTACAAAAATTGGATATGTAATAACTATAGTGTTATAAAAAAACACTTCCACTGAGTAAATAAACTCAAAACTATGAAGGGAACTAACTTCGACCAGAATAAACCGTGTTAAAGTTAATCTATAGACTTTTGAGGCGTCGAAATTAAACAAGAGCGTACAAAATTTTCTCTCCTAATGTTGCTAAATATTTTGCAGACTCAGTAGAGCCGTTAATTATGCCTTTTATTTTGGAAATTTACTCGGCAACGACGGTGAGTAATTCGTCGTCCAACGAAATGTTAAAAGTATATCTTTTATACTATAAGCTGTTCCCTATGCGTCGGTGGGCCGGGGGGGGGGGCTGATTGCCTAAATGTTGATTATTTAATTGAATTTTAGATTTTCCCCATCGATTGATTGGACAGAAGTGCTCGGTCTCAGGTTGACATATCGGCTTCTTGTACAGATGCTTTGATGATACCTGGACATGTAATTAGAAATTAATCTGTGTATGGTGACTAGCACTTGAATCCAGGATGCTCATTTCGTCCTTTTGGGGGCTAGTCACCTGGATGTGCCTGAATTTCCAGTGCGTGATGAAACTATGGGCACTAGGTTCGAGCCTCAGTAGGAACCTCACCCCTGACTGGGAGATACAGGCACATCCAGATGACGAGTCCCCAATAGGACGAAATGCGCATCCTGGATTCCACTACTAGTCACTATCCACCAATTAAATTCTAAATATTCAAGTTTTGCTTTGTAGGGATTTGGTTGATTGGTCTCAGGATTTCATCGTAAGCTGACATTAGTTAGAGAACCATTGGAAAACCTGGGAGTACTGGACAGCTTTTTCGTCATAGTCTGGGACTCTTCATCAGTACGCACCCACCGGGGTTCGAAACCAGGACCTTCTGGTTACAAAGCGGTGACCTGGTAGACCATTAAGCCACTGGGACCCGATCCAATGGCCCATGAATTCTAACCTCTGCCAATTCACTACATAACGCAACCGCTAGCCAATGTCTTCGGGCGAGTATTTGTCCTCACACCCTACCTGCTGCACCCTACTGGTCATGACTTCCCACTAGAGCCTCCACGTAACTACCTACCTGAACAGGGCAAGTCTAAATATAATTCTAGGTATTGATTACCTTTAATGCTATTTCAGAGAAAATAGTTTCCTGTGTATTTTTAAAATTTTCTATTATCCATTCACTTACTTTGTTTTGTTTGTTTGTTTGTTATGCAGTTTGAGAAAACACTTCGAAAATACCTATCAAACAGTGATGAACAAATCGCTGAAATATTGAAGAGAAAATTTTTTCAGACTAGCTGTGAATTTCAAAGATCAGAAACATGTAAAACACTATTAGATAAATGTATCACGGGGATTGTTTCAAATCCAGACAGACTCTATGTCCTATTGAATGACTTGAAGACCACTTTAAGATTACATGTACAGAAAGTTGATAAAAAGGTAATATTTTTACTTTACCATTTTTTTTAATGCTTATGTATTTCTCTCTTTATACAACAGCATCATTTAGGAGGTATTACTACTAAACGTCGTTTAGACATCAAAACACTTTCTCATGGTTAGTTTCTTTATTCATTTGATTGTATAAAACTATTGTATCAAGTTAGTGTTTGTTCTCTAAATAATATTTTTCAATTTCATATGTATATATTTCTCATACATACATACATACATACATATACATATTTCACTGACCCCCCGACGAAATCGGAGGTCCTGAATGCAATCAAGATGCTTAAAACTGGGAAAACACCGGGACCAGATGGAATCCCAGCAGAGGCTTTGAAAATAGACCCAGAGACAACAGCGGACTTGATGACACCACTACTGGAGAAGGTGTGGAAAGAGGGCAAAGTACCCGAGGATTGGAAGAACAGTTACTTATTCAAACTTCCAAAGAAAGGAGACTTAAGTCAATGTAAAAACTGGCGGGGAATTATGCTTCTGTCCATTCCAAGCAAGATACTAAGTCGCATCATCCTGGAGAGAATCAAACAAGCCCTAGATGAAAAACTTCGTCCAGAACAGGCTGGATTCAGGAGAAACAAATCATGTATTGATCAAATTGCCACTCTACGGATCATCATTGAACAAAGCTTGGAATGGCAGTCACCTCTCTATCTCAACTTCATCGACTTTGAAAAGGCCTTCGACAGCGTCGATCGAGAGGTCATTTGGAAACTACTTCGCTACTACGGGGTCCCATCGACAATTATACACCTCATCCAACAGTTATACGACAATGCTGCATGCCAAGTAATCCACAACGGGAAACTTACGGAAGCCTTCGAAGTGAGGACGGGGGTGAGGCAAGGCTGTCTACTATCACCAATGATCTTCCTGATTGCAATCGATTGGATAATGCGACAGACAACGTCAACCAACGAGGGAACAGGCATAAAATGGACTGACACAAAAGACTTGGAGGATCTGGATTTCGCCGATGATATATGTCTGATTTCCCATAAACTGGAAGATATGCAAATGAAAAGTAACAAATTGGCAGAAGAAGCATCAAAGATAGGACTTCACGTGAACATAGATAAAACAGAGATGATGAAGATTCCTAGCCAACATCAACAGCAACAACAGACCACAATAAGCATAAATGGGAAGAACCTGAAAGAAACAACCTCCTTCACCTACCTGGGAAGCATCGTCTCAACTACAGGCGGAACTGACGAGGACATCAAAGCCAGAATCGGAAAAGCAAGACAAGCTTTCATTACTCTCAAATCTGTGTGGAGGTCAACAACATTCAGCATCAAAAATAAGATCCGGATTTTCAACTCCAATGTGAAGTCAGTGCTACTATACGGATCAGAGACTTGGCGAGTCATAAAGAGCATCTCAAACAAACTTCAAACCTTCATTAACAACTGTCTCCGCTCAATACTCAAGATCAGATGGCCAGAAAAGATCAGCAACAGGGATCTCTGGGAGCGAACCAATCAGGAACCGATTGTGAAACAAATAGGCAGAAAGAAATGGAGATGGATTGGCCATACGCTGAGGAAACCAACAAGTGACATCACTAGACAAGCCCTCGAGTGGAACCCGAAAGGGAGGCGGCGAGTTGGTCGTCCAAGGGTGACTTGGAGGAGGTCATGTGAAGAGGAGATGAAAGCATGTGGGCAGACCTGGAGCAGGGTGAAAAAGTTGTCAAAAAACCGAAGTCAATGGAGGTGCGCAGCTGAAGCCCTATGTTCCTCTAGGAACTAAAGGATACAATAATAATAATAATAATATATTTCTCATGTATGACAACAATATTTGG